GCCGCGGTGCTGACGCGCAGATCGCTCGTCGGAGCCGGGCATGGGGGCGAAAGACTCATCGAACCGCCTGGTAGCTGGTTGCCTCCGAAATGTCTCCCAGGACAGCCGCCGCCCCGCAGTTGCGGCCCGTAGAGCGCTGGCCGGCGGGAGCGGGGGGCCTGCCCCTCGCCCGCCCCCCAAACTCCGAAGGGCCGCGCCGCCCCGCCGCTGGCCTGGGCGGGGCGGGCGAATGCGGGCGGCGCGTGGGCCCCTCCTGGTAAGCAGGACGGGCGAGGCGGGACGATCCGGACGCCGGGCCAGGGTGCGCCGCCGGGGCCCGCGGAACGGCGTCGGCCGGTCCCGACAGCTGGAAGGTGGCCCCAGAAGTCGGCATCCTCCAGGGAGTGTGTAACAACCCACCAGCCGAATCGGCCGGCCCGGAAAATGGAGCGCGCCGGAGCCCCGGACCCGCGCCCGGCCGCCGCGCGCGGCGGGTAGGAGGCCGCAGAGGCCCCGGGGGCGAAGGCGGCGCGCAGGCCCCGCCGGACCGGCCTCTGGTGCAGATCTCGGCAGCAGTAGCCGCTACTCCGCGCCCCGGAGGACTGAGGGGGAGACGGGTTCCGCGGCGCCTGCATCTGGCCGCGGGTGACTCGGGCCTAAGCGGCGGGTGAAGACCGGGAAGGGGCGTGCCCGCCCGTCGAACGGGGAGCCGGCGGAGACTCCGGCAGGCGCGGCCCCCGCGGAGACGCCCGCCCCCCGGCGACGCGCACGGGGACCGCGGCGGGCGGCGCCCCGGCCCGCGAACGCCCCGCAGCCCCCGGACGCCTTGCGCGGAGAGGGGGGCCCGGGGGCGGACCCCGCGCGTCCCCGGCCGCCCCTGAAAAGCCGGGGGGCGCCGGCCGCGCGCCGTACCGACCGCAGCAGGACTCCGGGGTCAGCAGCCTCTAGCGCGGGAGCGAACGCGGCTCAGGGAAGTCGGCAAGCCGGCTCCGTAACCTCGGGAAAAGGAGTGGCTCTGACGGCGCGCCGGGTCAGAACTGGAACGGACGCGGGGATCCCGACTGTTTACTAGAAACACAGCGTCGCGAGGGCCGCACCCGGCGCTGGCGCGACGTGATTTCTGCCCAGTGCCACGACCGTCACCGTGAAGCGATCCGCCGAAGCCCTGGTAAACGGCGGGAGTAACTATGACTCTCTTAAGGTAGCCAAATGCCTCGTCGGGCAATTTCCGACGTGCATGAATGGACCAACGAGGATCCCACTGTCCCGAGCCGCGCCTCCGCGAGCCTCCAGCCTCGGGAACGGGCGAGGGCCGGCCAGCGGGGCAAGAAGACCCTTTTGAGCTTGACTCCAGCCCGGGCCTGTGGGGCGGGGCGGCCGGCGCAGCGCACAGGGGAGGCCGCGCCCCTGAGACACCCTGACGGCCGCCGCCGCCCCGCTCACCCGGTCGCGCGGGGACCCGCCCGGGCGGGGAGTTCGGCTGGGGCGGCGCGCCTGCTACACCGGACCGCAGGCGTCCCACGGCGGGCTCAGCGAGGACGGAGACCTCCCGCGGAGCAGAAGGGCACAAGCCCGCCCGACCCGCGCCCCCCGTGCCGGCGCGGGCCGCGAAAGCGGGGCCTACCGATCCTTCGCCGCCCCGGCCGCGGGCGCGGAGGTGGCAGAAAAGTTACCACAGGGATAACTGGCTTGTGGCCGCCGAGCGCCCGCAGCGACGCGGCTTTTTGATCCTTCGATGTCGGCTCTTCCTACCGTCCGCGCGCACCGGCGCGGAAGCGTCGGATTGTTCACCCGTTCAAGGGATCGTGAGCTGGGTTTAGACCGTCGTGAGACAGGTTAGTTTTACCCTACTGGCCCCGGGGCCAGAGCACGGCGGGCCAGTACGAGAGGAACGCCCGCCGCGGGCCGCCAGCCCCGCGGTTGCCCGGCCGGGCAGCGCCGCGCCGCCGCGCCCGGGGGCCCTGCGCTGACCGCCTCTAAGCGCGCACCCCGCCTCGCGCCCCGCCCGGCCGCGCGCCCCAGCCCCGTGCCCCGTCGCCGAGCGGCCCCCGCCCGGGGAGACCACCCGGCGCGGCGCTCCTGTACGGCGCAGAGCCCTGCGATCGCCTGAGGGACGCGCCTGCAGAGCGCGGGGCGGGGCGCGCGGCCCACTTGCTCTGGGGGGGTGCGGGGCAGACAGACAGGCAGAGCGCGGAAAGAGAAGATTGAGGGAGTGCAGGGTGCCCCAAGGGGTGGCCAGGGGGCAGTGCACGCCCACCACCGGGTCTGCCTTGCACAGAGAGACCCCGTGTGCGCAGGGGGGCGGCGCAGGACCGCAGGGGGCCCGGGGGAGGCGGCCCGGGGGATCCAGACAGAGAGGGCGGCAGGGAGGCCCAGCGCCTCCAGCAGGCCACGCACGACCGGGAGACACGCCCACGTGCGGGGACGGGCGCTGGGGAGGCCCGGTGCAGGAGACCGGGGGACCGCGGGGAGAGCGCGGAAGGACCCCCGGACGGCCCAGAGCAGCCGATCCCCCGGGCCAGTAAACACTCCGGTCTCTCCTGCGGCCTCCTGCGCCCCGTGGCCCCGCTGCAGCCAGGCGCACGCACAGCACCCGGGGCTGCCCCAGTCGGTCCAGGGCCGGTCGGGGGCCCCTCCTCGGACCGCGCCCTTCCGGGGGGCCGCCCCCCACGCAGTGCCCTCCCGCTGCCAGCAATCATATAGGTTAGAGACGGACCGTATATAGCCACGGCTGCTGAGATCCCCGCGAGAAGCCGTTTCGGGCGGTCTCCCCGGAGAGGGCCCCCAGAGCGCCCGGATGCACAATCAGCCTCCAATTCGATCGTTTTGCAGTCAAGGGCCTCCCCGGGGCACGGTGGACGGAGAACGAGGGGCGCGGATCTCCCGACCGGCAGGGAGCCCGGGACACGCGGTCCGCACAGGAGGGTTTGCCGTGATATGCAGTCCTGCAGGGTCCGCCCGGGCTCCCCGGCGCTCCCCGCGGACCGGCCCCCCGGCCCCCCGGACGCCCCCAAGGGATTTCAAAAAAATGTGGTGCAGGGGGACTCCAGGGGGTGTGTGGGGGCGGCTTCTGTCACGCACTATATAGGACAAGGTGCTTTATCTCGCGAGGGCCGGTTTTTTGGAGGGGGGCAGAGGGCCCCAAGGGAATCCAAAAAAGTGTGGTGCAGGCGGACCCGGGCCGGGCTGTGGGGGGCGGCCTCCGCCCGGCACTATAGGGGGGACCCCCGACACGGCATGGGCACGGAGGGGGCGGCCCCCGTGCCAGGCGGCGGCCCCCGCGCAGGGAGGCGCCCGGCCCGCGGCGCCCGCGCCCGGCCATCCGGTCGATCCTGCCGGAGCGCGACGCTCTCCCCAAGGACGAAGCCATGCATGCCCGCTCACCCGGGACGCGGCGGACGGCTCAGGACAACGGTTGCACCCCCCGCGGCGGTCCCTGCTAGCCGGACACCGCTGGCAACCCGGCGCCAAGACGTGCGCGCAAGGGCGGGCGCCCGCGGGCGAGCAGCGTGACGCAGCGACGGCCCGCCCGGGCTTCCGGGGCATCACCCGGTCGGCGCGGTCGCGGCGCGCCGAGGGCCCGACGCCTGGCGGAGAATCAGGGTTCGACTCCGGAGAGCGGGCCTGCGAGACGGCCCGCACATCCAAGGACGGCAGCAGGCGCGGAACTTGCCCAATGCGCGGCGCGCGAGGCAGCGACGGGGAGCGCGCGAGCGAGGCGGGCCCACAGCCCCCGCCGCGGAGCCGAGGGCAAGGTCTGGTGCCAGCAGCCGCGGTAATTCCAGCTCGGCGAGCGTCGCGCGGCGCTGCTGCAGTTGAAACGCCCGTAGTTGGCCCCCCGCCGCCACGAGGAAACGGGAGCGCTCCAGGCAGGCCCGTTGGACCCGCCGCGTGGGACCGCGCAGCGGGCGCGGCGCGCCGCGGCAGCCCCGAGGAGAGCGGGCGGGGGCACCGGTACCGGCCGGGGACGGGTGAAACAGGATGATCCCGCCGAGACCGCCGGCCGCGCAGGCGCCTGCCAAGACCGCCTCTGTCAATCAAGGGCGAAGGCCGGGGGCTAGAAGGCGATCAGACACCACCGTATTCCCGGCCGTAAACGGTGCCGCCCCGCGGCCGGCGCGCGCGTCCCGCCGGCCGCCCAGGGAAACCGGGAGGCTCCGGGCTCTGGGGGGAGTATGGCCGCAAGGCTGAAACTTGAAGGCATTGACGGAGGGGTACCACCAGACGTGGAGTCTGCGGCTCAATCTGACTCAACGCGCGCACCTCACCAGGCCCGGACGCGCGGAGGACCGACAGCCGGGCGCGCTTTCGCGATCGCGCGGGCGGTGGTGCATGGCCGCTCCCAGCCCGTGGCGCGAGCCGTCTGCTCCATTGCGACAACGAGCGAGACCCCGGCCGCGGGCGCCGCGGGACGGCCCGCGCGAGCGGGAGGACGGCGGGGCGATAGCAGGTCTGTGATGCCCTCAGACGCCCTGGGCCGCACGCGCGCTACACTGGCGGGGCCAGCCGGCGCCCGCGAGGACGCGCGGAGCCCCCGCCGTGGCCGGGACCGCGGGCTGGAACGCCCCCGCGCACCAGGAATGTCTTGTAGGCGCCCGCCCCCACCGCGCGCCGGACGCGTCCCTGCCCCTTGTACACACCGCCCGTCGCTCCTACCGACTGGGCGCGGCGGCGAGCGCCCCGGACGCGCGAAGGGCCGCGAGCCCCCGCGCCTGGAGGAAGGAGAAGTCGTAACAAGGTATCCGTAGGTGAACCTGCGGATGGATCCCTCGCGCGCCCCGCGCGTCGCCCCCGCGGCCCGGTCGGCCCCCGAACGCCCCGCCGGCGGATGCCTCGGCCCGGGCGGCGACGAAGAGCGCGGCGGAGCGCGAGACGCGGTGCGGACCCGCCCGCCCCGAGAAGCACCGACCCTCGAACGCAGCGCGCCCCGGCGCCGCCGCCTCGGCGCCCGCCGCGTGCCGCGCGCCGCGCCGCAGAGAGCGCCCCGGGGCGGTCCCGCCGGGCTGCGCGGCCCGAGGCGGCGGGGGCGACGGGCGGAACTTAAGCATATCAGTACGCCCCGGAGGAGAAACCAACCGGGATTCCCCGTAGCGGCGAGCGACGCGGGAGGAGCCCGCCCCGAAGGCGCGCTGTGGGGCGCAGGCGCAGGCCCGCCGCGAGGGGGCCCGAGGGCCCCGCCCGAGAGGGTGCAAGCCCCGTACGGCGGCCGCCGGGCCTGCGCGGCGAGTAGCGCTGCTTGAGCGTGCAGCGCGAAGGGAGGCGCGGCCCTTCCAAGGCTAAATACGCCCCGGGACCGATAGCGGACCAAGTAGCGCGAGCGAACGGTGAAAAGGACGCCCTGCGGCCGCTCAAAAGACCTGAACCCGGCCGGCCGCCGGCCCGCCGGCCCCGTCTCGAAACACGGACCGAGGAGCCACGCGCCGCGGCGAGCCCGAGGGAGCCCCCGCGGCGGAGCGAGCGCGAGACGCCCCGGGCCCGCCGCGCCCCTGCGGGCGTGCGCGGGCCGAGCCGCGGCGCGTGGGCCCGAAAGGCGGTGATCTATGCCCGGCGAGGGCGAGGCCGGGCGAAAGCCTGGTGGAGGCCCGCCGCGGTGCTGACGCGCAGATCGCTCGTCGGAGCCGGGCATGGGGGCGAAAGACTCATCGAACCGCCTGGTAGCTGGTTGCCTCCGAAATGTCTCCCAGGACAGCCGCCGCCCCGCAGTTGCGGCCCGTAGAGCGCTGGCCGGCGGGAGCGGGGGGCCTGCCCCTCGCCCGCCCCCCAAACTCCGAAGGGCCGCGCCGCCCCGCCGCTGGCCTGGGCGGGGCGGGCGAATGCGGGCGGCGCGTGGGCCCCTCCTGGTAAGCAGGACGGGCGAGGCGGGACGATCCGGACGCCGGGCCAGGGTGCGCCGCCGGGGCCCGCGGAACGGCGTCGGCCGGTCCCGACAGCTGGAAGGTGGCCCCAGAAGTCGGCATCCTCCAGGGAGTGTGTAACAACCCACCAGCCGAATCGGCCGGCCCGGAAAATGGAGCGCGCCGGAGCCCCGGACCCGCGCCCGGCCGCCGCGCGCGGCGGGTAGGAGGCCGCAGAGGCCCCGGGGGCGAAGGCGGCGCGCAGGCCCCGCCGGACCGGCCTCTGGTGCAGATCTCGGCAGCAGTAGCCGCTACTCCGCGCCCCGGAGGACTGAGGGGGAGACGGGTTCCGCGGCGCCTGCATCTGGCCGCGGGTGACTCGGGCCTAAGCGGCGGGTGAAGACCGGGAAGGGGCGTGCCCGCCCGTCGAACGGGGAGCCGGCGGAGACTCCGGCAGGCGCGGCCCCCGCGGAGACGCCCGCCCCCCGGCGACGCGCACGGGGACCGCGGCGGGCGGCGCCCCGGCCCGCGAACGCCCCGCAGCCCCCGGACGCCTTGCGCGGAGAGGGGGGCCCGGGGGCGGACCCCGCGCGTCCCCGGCCGCCCCTGAAAAGCCGGGGGGCGCCGGCCGCGCGCCGTACCGACCGCAGCAGGACTCCGGGGTCAGCAGCCTCTAGCGCGGGAGCGAACGCGGCTCAGGGAAGTCGGCAAGCCGGCTCCGTAACCTCGGGAAAAGGAGTGGCTCTGACGGCGCGCCGGGTCAGAACTGGAACGGACGCGGGGATCCCGACTGTTTACTAGAAACACAGCGTCGCGAGGGCCGCACCCGGCGCTGGCGCGACGTGATTTCTGCCCAGTGCCACGACCGTCACCGTGAAGCGATCCGCCGAAGCCCTGGTAAACGGCGGGAGTAACTATGACTCTCTTAAGGTAGCCAAATGCCTCGTCGGGCAATTTCCGACGTGCATGAATGGACCAACGAGGATCCCACTGTCCCGAGCCGCGCCTCCGCGAGCCTCCAGCCTCGGGAACGGGCGAGGGCCGGCCAGCGGGGCAAGAAGACCCTTTTGAGCTTGACTCCAGCCCGGGCCTGTGGGGCGGGGCGGCCGGCGCAGCGCACAGGGG